AGTTAACTAGGTGAAAAAAGGTAAGATACACTTTTAAAACTTGTGGAGAGCTAAAACTAGTCTTTGCTGCTGCCTCAAAGAGGAGAAGGGAGGAGAGGAGGGAGACAGGTGAGACTGTTTCAGGAGGTCAGACACACTCACAACTATAAATGAACCAAAAATAAATAAATATACAAGTTTCAATGTTTATTCATGAAATGGTATGTTATTGGTTATGGCCATAATGTTATGATTATTAAAATGTATACAGTTCCGTTTCATATAGGTGTTCACTGTTCCAATAGATCTAGTCTCTTTATTTTCCCCTCAAAATGCACCAGATTGATGCATTTAACTCCAAAATATTGGTGCATGCATGCCCCCGGGCCCCCCTAGAGGATTTAAAATTACATGGATAGGTTCCTAAATACATTTACAATTTTTTTTTTTTTTTTTTTTTTTAAATAGTAACCCATGTCCATATGTTTATTTGTGGGTAGTAGATTTCAACTATAGGGCTATCACTATGGGCCCTGCCTGTACCTGTTCGCTCTGCCATTGCGTGAAGGGTCTGCTAACAAGCGACCAACAGAAAGGTTAATGTTAAAGGAATGCTCCACTCATTAGATAATTAATCAAAACTTCAGTATTTAGTGAAACATTATGTTTAAACCATACCCTGAAGAAATCAGCTATATTCCCCGGTAAATAATGATTTTATAGCTCTTTTTTATCAAAACCTGTATATTCCGTCAGGCCGCTGCCATTTTGCCCATTTTCAGTAGTCACGTGATGGTCGTGACGTCATCCATGCGTTCACTTTGTAAACACACGAAAACATGGCGAAGTTTTGAGCAATATGAAGAGATTGGATGGGGGAATTCAGCCATACAGGTTCGAGCCTACTTAGTACTACTTAGTAGATACAATGATTTTGATTACTAGATATGTATGCATGTAGTACCACCCTTGCTAGCGATTCCCTCTCTAGTTTAGCATACTCAGCCTCGTTGTCCCTGGCCCTAGAACCACGATTTTATGGGGCCGGAAAAACTGGGGGGAAATACCCACTAGCCGGTACTACGCTATATGGAAAGGCCACCAAAAACTGGCCTGAACTGGACGATAAAGGACGTTTAAACGGGGCTACCCGCTGCAATGGAAATGCGCCATAACATACCTTATTCTTACTCCGAGCACTACTTCTGGTCCTCCGTCGCTTCACACTTGCAGAGGGCGATTTCTCAACTGGCCGAACTGGTGTCCTGGTCGGTGATGACACCAGAAAGACCGATGGTACTGCATCTCCATTAAGTAATGGTTGTTCAATAAATCCCATGCTATGTTTTATCATACTCATAGTAGTCATCCGGAAACTTGAAATGTTCGCTGCATACATGCGCCTGTGGATCTTTCGGTTCGGGCCGGCCACATTTCGCTAGCCACTGCCTCCAAACGTACTTCCTACGCTTACCTTTTGGCAACAGATGGAACCGAGCATTCCGTGGATTGTTCCTATCAGAATTGTGGCAATGTTTCGCGATACAATGAGGCATATTTGAAGAGAGTAACTACAGTAAATAACATGAACATCAACGTGTCCTCCAAACCAAACGCATGGTTTACGTCACGTCCGGTAAAATGGCGCCGCCCACAGTGTTGATGTTATTTCGGTAATTAATCAGTTTAAAATCACTGATAATGTCATCGGATTAAAAAAAAAAAAAAAGAGAGACTGGCAGAGACTGGTCTGTTTTATCGGATGATAATTATTTAAAAATGAGTGTCATGAGCATACCATTCCTTTAATGTTGTTGCACGTCACAAAGGCACGTCACCTCAATAATAAATAAATTGTTTCAGCATGAGGGTAATCTTGTGGGAGACCTCCTTTCTTTTGCATGCCATTAGTATGCTATAGCTTTATTTGTTGCACAGAACAAGTGACTATCAGTGCCTTTAAATGTGACGGCAGCTTTAACATATTACCAGACACAAGGATTACTAATACTGCTGTTGTTGCTGTGAAAATCCAAAAAGGAAACTACTTTTCCTGTTTTACTGAACTCCATTTTGCCTCTTGGGATTGTTCCCTGGAAGCATGTAAACTTGCCAACTCAGTGCGATAAGCTTATCGGAGGTGGCTGATTGGCATTGCAAAAGTAAGGTCCACTGGTAATCAGTGCAGGCTTTTAACAAAGCCACTTTAACTGGAGGAAGTGATGACCGATCCAAACACAAACCTGCCTCTGTTACACAAACCAGCTGCGTGCAGAGCAGGGGCAGGACATGGAGCACAGAGATATTTATAGATAGTGGGAGTTGCACTTTGACAGGGTGCCACCTCATTATATGAGGTTTATTTCAAAACACAAAAGATTCAATACAACAATCCTTCATGTCATAACATGGCACCAGAATGGGATGGGTCATAACAATAGTATAGTGCTTAAATGATTAAAAAGTGAAGTTCAGTAACAGATTTCCAGGCTTTCAAACACTTATACTGCCAGCCAATTGCCCTACAAGTGAGAAGGACAATAACACCAGAGCTTAGACAAAACATTAAGTACATACGGGTTAGATAAGGTTCGTTATTACACTGTCTAACAGATTTAGGCTAACAATGTTATGCTGTGTAACGTAACCCCCAAATCCACAATAACTGAGAAATGCTTTCCGTTGAACTGCAACTGAAGAAGCTGTAGGCAACAGAGACAAACAACAGGCTGCTCTGTGTGTCTATTTGTATTAAAGATCTCTCCACCAATGCCAACAGACACTCAACTCACCAGGTCAAGATATGCATTTTGTTACATTCATAAGAAAAACACAGTTTGATATTTTTTTGTAAACTATACGAGAAAGCTCAGCCTGTGACTGGCTATAAGCAAGCAGGACAAAGCTTGGACTACAGCTCCATTGCTAACCCATACTCCTGTCCGTGTCCACAATGAAAACTCACGCCAGCAGCAAGCCTCTAGCTCCTCCTGTGGTTGGTAATGTCTGCCTTCTCCACTGCCCGTGTCTCCTAGGCCGGGCCCGGCTCGGTGAAAAAGCCTTCCTGCCAGCCTGTGAATAACAGACATCCTACAAGGCAGGAGGAAACCAGCTGATAGCCAGAAAAGAATCTCAAAACTGCAGTATGTCCGGAGGTTCTCACAAGCTGGAAATCCAGAATATGTATCACCAACAGCCTCTTAAGGGTCAAAACATCAAGCTACCCTGGTTAGCTGTGTTTAGTTTATAGAGAGGCGATGACCAACTGTGAAAAGCCTGGGCTGGACCTTCCTTGCTCCTTCACTTCCTGTTGCAGTTCACTGAGTGTCTGTCCGCCCTGCTTCCTCCTACGGGCCAGATATCAGCTTTACTTGTGCAGCAGCTCTGTGCTCGTACTCTGCAGCCTGGGAACTTCAGGGGAAAGAGACCCTGCACACCAGCGCAAGCTATCAACACTCTCTCTTTCAATTGAAACCAAAACAAGCTGCCATGTTCTCCTTAATTTCATGCTGCTCTGTGGAAAATGACACTCCTGTGTGTGGGCTCTGTACCCCTGGTCTCCACCTGTCTCTGGGGATCAGGGTGGATCCTCTGCGATCAGGTTGATAAGGATGTGAAGCATGACATGTAAACACATTTCCCTAACCAAGTAATCCCCTAATTCACATTTCTATTAAAAAAACAAATCTCTGTGCTCTGGAAAGTCCTTGTTAGGGGGTTTTCTATTGGTGGGTTAATATTACAGAAGGACTGGAGGCCATTCTTCACACATACTCTATACCAGCAACAAGGGGCTGACACTCATTTTGCAGATACCTGTTCAGACGTTGCACACTTGAGCGTTATTTATGGTGTCATGGATAAAACATAAAACGGTGTCCTCCCAAGTCGTATCCAAGGTCTGTGACCCTTAATTGGAAACACTATATAAAGCACTTTTATTAGTTAATAAGTGTGTTAAAGGATTAGGATTACAATTTCCCTCAATCAGTAAGGAACCTGAGGATCATATTGTAGTAGATAAGAGTATCTATTTATGTTATATCTTATATAAATAGATCTAATGAAGGTCATCAACAAAATAAAAAGTTCTAAAAGGGGTCTTGTCCTCTCCAAACATGCACGCACAAACACAAAAAGTGAAACATACAAGTCCTTGTTCTAAATGCTGATCATCACATGATATTCAAGAGACTCCTGAACTCCTAAGTTTCTGCCTGGAGAGGATCACCCTCATGCATCATATGACCACCATCCTGGTGGTTTTTCCTTCTCTGAAAACAACCAACTCCCCTCTACTCATTGTTAAAGTAACCTGCGGGAATCAATGCTCAGGTCCACTTTATATTAACAAGATCCCATCATTTACACACACATGTCAAATATTTGCATTCTAACTCTTGCTTTAATATCTGCATTTCTTAACATTTAATTTAAGTATGCACTATGCACTAAGTATTATTCTGCCCTGAATGGATTATCAAAACTGCACAAGAAAACTCCAAACAATGTTACTGCAGGCTTTCATAACCTTTTGATAGGAGGAAATACACACATCTGAAACACGTGAACCACACAGAAACCTAAGACTGTTGTATAAGGCCAGTTGTTGTCATCCCCATCAGTTCCTCTGAATATAACCTGGGGCTTTGAATCACGAGCTTTCCCACAAAATCAGTGGAGAGAATGGATAACATCCTCTGCTGTTCAGTTGAAATGATCATGGTGTCACAGATTGTTTGAAGTTTATATGTGGAAGTCAATGGCCTCGGGTATCTTTTATGATGTTCCATCTGAAGTTGACAACCCAGGAAAGTTTAGCATATTGTCATTATTAGAACAGGGGGTCGAAATCAAAATAATGTGGTGTCAGTGTGGAGGGTCTTTGGGCCTTGATGTATTGTACAGGTGATAAATTGTATTTCAGTCCCATTATCGGAAACAGGAAATAACAATACAGGCAAACGATCCAGGCAGCATGATCTAGCTAGCTTCTGCTGCTACGGGTAAAGGGTACTCACCGCTCTCCATCTCATTGCCCTTCTTTGCGGTGGGCGTGTTGCCCATGATGAAGGCTGATGGTGGGCTCCTCTGCAAGTCGTTGAGTGTTGCTACACCGCTAACGCTGTCGCTGGGCTCAATGACGCTGACAGCTAGCTACTAGCTAACAGCAATCATTATTGGACTGTGTGTAAATAAATGTCTTCCAATACCCCTCCTTAGGGAGTTCGGAAACTCAACCCGAGCGAGTATATCCAAGTCTGAAGCTAACACTGACGCTGTAGGCTGGCTAGGCTAGCACACAAGCTAACTCTAGCAACCAGTGGATGTTAGCCTCGGAGTGTTGGCTCGTCAATTTCCAAGCGAGCAGTGGCAAATCAAGATGTCACTCGACTGTCCTTTATTTCCAGTGATAGCTTGGTTTATCCAGAATCGAGTCCGTGCCGTTAGACAGATCGTCAAATTCGCTTTCCGCCTATCGTACGAGCAAGCTAGTGTTAGCTTTTAGCGTCACTCGCAGTAGTATCCTGGCCTGAACTAACCAGGTGCTATCTCTGTGAAGGCAGGCCTTTTCAGTTGAGACGTGAATAACAAAAGTGGTGTCCAGGTTAGTCGTTTTTTCCGCTGTTGGATATTTTAATTGTATTTATCTCCATTCGTTTCTAAACCAGGCATCAAGTGCAATGGTTTCCATGGACCGACCATCTGATAGTCGATTCCTAAGATCAACAGACCCCTTCCATTAATCTTCAGACCGCAAGGGAAACTCCAGTCATCCATCCACTGGGTCCCTCCTTCCACTGGCTCTGATTGGCTCATTGCACATACACTTACATGAGAGACGTCGCAATTCAGATGCTGATTGGAGGAGCGTCAATACATCCAATCATTGCATTGATGCGATTCGTCCATCAAATTATTTTGTCCCGCCTCCCGGACTTGCTTGCAGCCAATACGCCCATAACTATGACTGTTTTTTTCCGTTTTGCTTTAAATGATCAGCTGTTTGTATTTATAAGAACGAGTTTCTTGCAGGGCACAAATCATCCGCTTTAGCATCTTGCAACAATAATCCTACTTGCACAGCAGTATTTAACAAAGTCTGTTCTGTAGCTTAACCACCCCTTTTACCCGAGCGATCTGTGATTGGGTGTGACGTTAACACAGGCTATTTTTAGTCAAATGGGGAAATATAAGAGGATGCACACAGTGACATTTGTTTTACAGAGTTGCCACTCTTGTGTTTAAAACGACCATGTTCAAACTGTAATTACTTCTTTGTGACATTCTTAACAAGAACAAAAGAGAAAACATTTGTTTTCAGCACAGACACATTTAAAAAGGAGCAATATTCTTCCCCTGCTTGTTTAATCAAAATAAAATAAGTAAAGGCAAAAAAGAAGAGAAATAAGAACAACATCTTACCATTACAGACATTTGTACACAGATAGATAACATCAATTTTTATTTGAACACAAAGTTGGAAACAAAACAAAAAAACATGGAAAAGTAATGTATCCCATTCAAAACTCCAAAAGAAAAAGGTTTAAGTGCAAAATAAATTTGAACCCAAATATAATGGCAGATGATCAAATTCCTGTACAGCAACAACACTGCGTTTTATAGCATGAGCTCTGAAATCCTCCCAAACTGGTACAAATCAGTTCTGCATCTACAAGAGGAAGGAAGGTGAATCACACATCGGCTTTCTTTCCTCTTTCAGTTCAGCTCATGTCAGTCACCCTCCCATGAGTTAAATAATGTTTTAAATGTTATGGTAAGAACATTTCACATATATAAGTGATGCACATACCAGTAAGATGTTCTTGATCCTCCTTAAAACAAACAATCATCTCAATCCCAAGATGAGAGTTACGTTTTGACAAGCTTCAGGTAAATAAGGAAAGCTGCAAGGCAAAGATGTCTTTACATCCACACTCGAATGTCCATAGGCATTCTTCAGAAGATCTTGTGCTGCGAGGTATTAACTTTGGGGCTCTATAAGCAGTCCATGGAGTTATCTGGTAGTATCCCTAAAGGGGGGGCCTTGCCCGGGAGACATGATGGTGGGAGCATGGAGTTTGATGAGGGATCCACATTTTCACAGTCCTCCATCCGCTCTGCACAGCCTTCCCAGTTTATATGGAATCTCGTCACACGTGGGTTCGATGCCAGAATGTTTCTCTGAAGCTGAAAAAGAAAATAGATATACATTTTGTAAATATTTAAATGACTTGTGAATATTAATATGTTTTCTATGAGAAACTGACAAGAGATTTCAGACCGTAAAACCATATCTAAGTTGGGTCACAGCACAGTACAGAATATGCAAATCACCAGTGGGAGTAGGAAAGATATAAATTGTCTGCCTACACAATTTACAACTTAAATGGGAACAATCTGACAGCAATTGGAAAACCTTTCCCCAGAAGCCTTAATCTTAATCCATTAGCTGCATGTACTTTTCGCTAATGAGCACACTGCAGACTCATGAGACATCACCACACTTCGTTTGGCATCCAGCCTCAAGTACAGAAAAGGTGAACTCTGTTGATAAGATCCGTACAAAGGTGCCAAATGGTTTTCATTCAAAGACTCAGTGGCCTGTAGGGTTGGGAACCGAAACTCGGTTCCAGGTGAGAACCAATAAGAAAATGCCGGGTACCCGTACAAAATACACAATTTCGGTTCTGCTTAACGGTTCCTAAACGCGGTGGACCCTATTCCACCGGGTCCATCTGCGCCGCGGTGACCCGGTGGAATACATCAGAGTAAGGGAGGACTGGCTATCTGTGTGTTCTGGAGAATCACAGAACAGCCGGTCGTCAGCGGGACGTTGACGGCCGGCTCGGCACGCTGACGGCCGGCACCGCCCTTCATTTTTTTAAACGGCATCATGTAAGTTGCGGCGACAGAGGTCCACAGTTTCCCCGCAGCAAGGCTCCCCCTGCCCTCCCGTAGACAGTTCACAAGCTCAGTCACTTCATAACACCAAAGATGGGTCGCGGTAAACGCTCTAAAGTGAGGCTCCACTACACTAAAAAAGAAAAAGACAAGGCACAGTGTAATGCCTGCTAATAGCTTGACAAAGGCATAGCTCAGTTAAAATAAAGCACAGCTATTGTGCAATACATTTGTATCGCATGTATATTTTTTATTTGTAAAAATGTCAGTTAAAGCTTAACAAAAATAAAGATATTTTTGTTATCTAAACGTTTGACCTCTTTCTTTTACAATTTTGGAATCGAAACGGGGAATCGATAAGAATCGGAATCGATAAGCAGAACCGGAATCGATACATTTCAAACGATACCCATCCCTAGTGGCCTGTCACTGAAGAACATTGCTTGCAGTAGTAACATTTCTGTTTAACTAGTTATATAACAAAGGGAGTTTGATAGGATTACTAGTCATTTTTTAAGGATAAAAAATGATGTTACAAAGTACAGGCTGAACAGAAAGAAAAGCCTCACTTCTGCAGAGTATGTGTGCACCATGCTGCCTTCTTATTATATTTTAAAGGTTAATATATAAAACAAATGTACATTGAATGATGTAGTGCAGGGGTGCCCACACTTTTTTGGCTGGTGAGCTACTTTTGAAATGACCAGCTCACCGAGGTCTACCAACCAAAATTAAAATCCCAAATTGCAAGGGTTGCTGAATAACACGTTTAATTTATACATGGGATAACTAGGCTGCAACAAACGACTAATTTGATAATCGATTAATCTATCGATTAATGAAACGATTAATCGACTATTCGGACTTTATGCCTTGCACAATTTCTCAAACGCTCTTATTTAGCCATCAACTTTTAGATTTAGCTTGAGGTTGTTTTAGGCATGTGGAAACTAACAATGAAGACAATAAAGATGAATACTTGATTCAAAAATACATATATTATTAAATTAACTAAACAAATTGTGAACAAAACTAACATTGCTTTTTATTAATTAAATCAATAATATTTCACATCAAAAGAAACAACAGTGTTTTAACAAATGGTATTAAATAATCTGATGACAGAACTGTAAACAGAATAGCTGAAACTTTAACAAAATAAAGAGTAACTCTGTTTCCTCTCATCATTAACCCATGCTTGTATAATTGTGTTAACTCTGTGTGGTGCTGCTAGCATACATAACACCTGACGTGGAAACGTTACTCGTGGATGGGGGGGGCTACAGAGCTACTAGAAAGAAGACAGTGGAACCCGGTGCATTCCTGCGTCTGAATGTGGTGCACTTTTGCTAAATGTTTAGATAAATTGCTCGTGTTACTGCCCTTACATGGAGCATTGTCCACATCATTTAACCATACCTTGCCCTTGGAGCGCTTCTCTCCGCCATCTCCTCCGTGTGTTGCTGCATGTAGCAGCTGCGTGTGTGTAAACTGCCCCGCCCCCTCGCACACAGACGGGGAGAGAGATCTCGTCTCGATTGGAAAGGTCGAAAATACACCGACCATAGACGCATTTGTTTGTCTTTTTGCATGTTAGAAACGAGTTGGCGACACTAAGACTGCGAGATAATGTTTGTGTAGCAATAATACATGACCTTTCTCTTTCTCAACTCGCTACTCGGAGGGAAGTCGCTGTCATATGCCTTGTGAACACTCCGATAATGCCTCTCCACGTTACCTTTCTTTGGCAAAGCGACGCTTGCTTTACAAATAACTAAGGCAAATAACCTTTGAATGTGACATCACAAACAAATATTCTTCCTCCCATTCTGGGTGGAAGTGGTTTGTCTTTAGCTTCTTGCTCGGTCCCGCACTCATTTTGTGGTTTGTCTCTTGTTTGTCTCTTTAACTTAATTTGAGTTTTCCCAGCACTTGACTGACTTTGTATCGCTTTGCATTCTGGGTTAACAGACTGGAAAGCGATAGGTCGCTTTTTCTGTCAAGTAAACTCCTGAATTAAGTGGCAGGGAGGCCAAGGGAGGAGGGATCAAAACCTGTTTTGTCTATTTTAACGGAGCTGGATTTTTTTATGAATGACTCGCGATCTACCAGCATTGCCCCCGCGGTCGACGTACTGGGCACCTCTGATGTAGTGTATACGGTATTTCATCTAATGTTTGTACATATTTTTTTGTTCACTTTTTCCCCCACACAGAATTATTTTAAAACTGCTTTTCAACCAGAAATTACATTACACATTCAAGTTGATAAAAGATCGTTATCCAAAGTATTATTTCATATAACAAATAAGCATTAAACAGTCATATTGAAAACAGAACTTTATCCAGAGTCAACCATTTGTCTGACCTGTGTGTAGTTTGGCTTGATCGGTGGATTTTCACGAAGATCTGGTTCTGTGTATTCATTGTTCACATAGTAACCAATGCGAATGAACTCCTGTCCACGGTATGTGCATGTGATCAGGACTACAGTCACACCAACAGCATCACTTTCAGGAATCAGTCCAGTGTTTGGAGCGTCAGCCTGTTAAAAGGAACACAACAAGTCGTTGTGTAAAATACAAGGCAACATTTTGGTGTACAATGCTTTGAGGAATTGAAATGTCCACTTGACAAGTGGAGACTATGGCGACAGGGTTGTGATATGATAAGTAGTCTTGCACTATTTGTCAATAAAAGGATTAGAACATGGTTTACCTAAATCAGAAAATGGGCATTTAACTGCTTCCAAAAAACGTATAGATTAATCAGGTTACAGATAATGCAGTGAAACAACATCATGTAAATAAAGGTCCAGATAAATCTACAATGAGCTAAAACCGGCATGGTTTTATGACTATCCAATAACATTATGTCAAATCTGTGGGGATGCATTATTGTCACATGACAAGATGAGCAGGTAGTGTAGGGACTGCGTTTTTCTAAATATGTAAAAGTGACTGTTTGCAATTTTGCTGATCTTTAAAAAGGCTCTATGAACAATTAGAAAAGCTATGCTGGAAAAAAGAAATGTCCAACATTTGAAATGGAAAAATGCAAGGACAAAGAGGATGCAACTGACGATGTTGAACTGAGTAATATAACATGTTATTTAAAAAATGACTGTACCCAGTATATGCTAAATGGCTAAAGGAACACAAAGTGCCGTCACAGTTTCCTCTTTCCCTAGCCAAACATACCTGAAACACAAACATGTGTCTCCCAGCAGGTACTGGGCCGACCAAGACGGAGTCGAGGACTTGGTCATACTCTTCACTCTCTGCGGAGCCAACATAGATGATCTTCCATTCAAGGTCTGTCAAAACAAACAAATAAAAGAAAATGAAGTTAGGTTCACTTTACCACTCAAAGTTACAGAAGAGTGTGCTGGGAAAATGATATCACTAATCAAATAGATGATGAACAGGAAAGTTGCTGGCCATTATTGTTAACTAACTGATCATATGCATCACTCATTTAGTAGAAATACTACAATATTTAAATAGTCAATAATATATAAATGATTTTCTGATTCTCACATTGTTAGGACACATATGTTGTGCTTTTGCTTTCATTGTTTATACCAGGAGCTTGAGTTCAGAGATGTGTCAGTATTATCTCTGCAAACCTCTTTTTAATGTTATAAACTATAGCCATTTGAAAAATAACTAATAATCCTAATTATAGGAGAAAAAAACAAATATAAAAGTATAAAGGTGTACTGAATGGAACACTTAAAAACGTGTTTCACTTGTAGCTACTACTGACACCCAATTATTTGACTATGCTGTAAAGTAGAATAAAATATCTATTAGATAACTCTAAAATGCTTAACTACCCTTAATTAAAATCCCCTAAAGCTTATTAGTGACATTTACTTTAGTTACACTGTAACCTTTGCATAACACTTTTACAAGTAAATGAGGAGTAACAAAGGATTTGACTAACATCACTGGAATGAGATTAATTCACTGTAAGGCCATTTGAATTGTAGTAGTCTACACTAGGACAATAAACTCAGGTTTGTTCAAAGAATTGACCTATGCTAGACAAACTGGAGATCTGTCAACCACAGGTTACCTATCAAGTCACGCTGTGTTATATTACTTCGCTACAACCTTATAACATTTGGTTACTTTTCAAAAATGTGACTCTCTGACTTAAGTTGGCTAACGTGGCTAACCTAGCTTTAGCCGTTAGCAATCTCTAGTACAGACCAACACAGAACCAACGCAACGTTAGCAACATGCTCAAGCTTCAAATAGCCTCAAATAACAACTTTTGTGAAACGACACCTACCTTCAGGAAGGTCCTCCATACACTCAAAAGTTATTTCAAACTGAAAGGGGTTTCCAAAGGGACTAGGGTTATCTAGGACAGCCACATTTAACACCTGTACCTTCGCCATTATTGCTGGAGCGCTAAAACGGGCTAATAAAAACAAACGTCCAAAGCTGATTCCAGGCGAATGGTTTAAAAAGATGCAGTACAACAATGCACGCGGTCAACGGTATTATCTGCCAAACACTGAAGGGTTTTAACAAACTAAAACCTTCTTGAAACGACGCAATGCACACTATTTACTTATTATTGTGTATAAATGTGGACTGTTATTATATTTGAGGACAGATATTCTGTTCTCCCGCCGCTTTACTGTAGGCTCTACCGCGCCTACGGCAAGCGGTAGGTGAAACAGGAGCCGACCCATAAAAGGAAAAGCAAAGTGCCTCAATCGGCCCCTAGTGGCACAGTGGCATTATTTCTTAGCAGATAATAAACAGAACATTCATTATCTCCTGACTAGCTAAGTTAATTTAATCAAGTTGGAAGCTTTATTGAAACTTCAACTTTGAATTGATCATCTTTAAGGTCATATATGTTTTGCTACTGTTTTGGTTTCCAACTGTTAAACATTAAGCCCACTGCTTTACCTTGGACTGAGAGGTGCAGGGAAATAAAAATATGTGGTTTCTCACCTCACACATATCTATTAATGCAATCAAGTAAAAACAATGCCACAATACATCTTTGGAAACTTTAATTGAAACAGTTCTCTTCAGAACACAAATTGATGTGTCACAGCTTCACAAAGCTTGCATTTGTTTCAATATGGGCTTACATCATGATCAGGCACATGTCAATGTACTACTAGTCATGGTTCCACACACCACATGCCTGCAGTAATTGTATGCGGGACAACAGACAACAGCAGGCTTTCTAAAGGCTGGTTCCAAAAATAAATAAGCCTTTGTAAAAAGAAATGAAAAAAACAAAGTCCGACAGTTTGTTCATATCTTTCCTACATTCAAAACAATTGCTGATGGGAGTTTAATGCCTTATTTTCAATTAATTAGTATTTCCATATTTTAAATGTAATGCACATTCATGAAATTAGACGGCCACAAGCTGTTGTGAAAGTGAATAAAAACTTAAAAATAATAATGCATGCCTTATTCAGCAAGCTAAATGTTCAGCTCCATATCACCACCACCCCAACACATATACTTAGGCATTACTATACTGTGGTTAGACAATAACTCTCACTATTAAGGTTATGTTATAAAGTAACTTTGTCTGCCTGACACAGCCCATTGTCATTACCAAATAGTATAGGTAGTTTAAATAAAACCACAGTATAAGACATTTCATAATAATGGTTTGGCATCTTCTCATACTAAAAACTGCAGTAATATGGGAGTCATTTTCAATAGCAGTTATCTGCTTTTCTAGAACGCTTCGCTGCTCTCACTGTTCAAATGAAAAACTATGCAGATTAGGCTTGAAGCAGCCTACATTTTCCCTGCCCCTCTGAGTATGAGAAGGGGGAGATTAGGTGAGGATTAGAGTCCACTGGACCAGCTGGCCGCAGAATTCATCCTTAAAATATTTCAGGAATGTTGATATCCTTCCTCATGTTGGGTAACCTGATCAAACCTGAGGGAGGCGCTGTTTCATCCCACCACCCGCAGCCAGGTTGCTAGGTAAGCTGTGCAGGGGAATACAGTAAAACACTGTCTACTCAAGCAGGTTGGAGCAAGTGAGAGCGACCTGGCATCATACTATTCAAAAAAAGCTTCAGTTTAAATCCAGAATCAGGAGGTAAATTGGCATTATTTGACACACCTGTGATCAAAGTGATCTTTTTGATAGTATGTGTGTTTCAAGGAGTTTTGTTTTCATGGCAACAGGAGTGATCGGGTCTGCTGTGCTTCAGTAAACTACGCTTTTCTTTGACTCTGTACAAAGGAGTATCTGTTGTTCACTCTGCTGCAGGTGGATAACTGCGCTCAGGTAATGTAATACGAAACTTAACCATGTGACCAATGGCGATCTGAAGAGTAGACAAAAAAACTGCTTTACATAAAACACCACTGGTAGAGCAGACAGTCGAGGATGTAGTCCAATCTTTGATCTATACAAGCTTTTTTTGGAAGCACGGTGTTTTTCTCGAGATTTCACCTGTTGGACTAAACCATTTGTTGCAGTTTATGACAAGGTGGGGCGGAAGCGAGGAATACACCTGCTCGATGTTTCCCGTTTTGATTCGATCACCTGAATGGATCAATGGTATGTGTCTAACAGAGCTTTTGCTAAATTAATTTTACAACATATTTTCTTTGTTATTAGTTGCACATACCATACTAATGCTGCCAATGAGAAGGGGTTAAACATTTAGGCTGTATTCAGTTAAAATGCTATTTATATCTTATTCTTTCCCTGTGGTCTGAGCAGGTTTAATGGTGATTCAACATCAGACTGAATGTGTGACTCAGTAGTTGTATGGTGTTTATGAGTCAACAGTTTAAAGGAACAAGTTTTGTCAGTGTCAAAGTGAACTAAGAAATAGAATAAAAGGAACAAATATCGTTACTCCACTGACAATAATGTGCCTTCAGCTGTTCCAGATGGGCGATAAATCCACACAGTGAATGTTGGAACTAATGATGGACCCAAGCTGATGTCCCAGAGTCCCATGTCAGCCCTCACTTTGCCCTGCTGGTCACGGGTAGAGATGGCGGCGTGTCCGGATGTGCTGGCCAGGCCTGGAGTTGTGGTCAGGAGTGTTATACTGTTGCTCCTGAGCAGTAATCCTGTCAGGGGTGAGTCAGTGACCATCCCTTCACCCTCAAAACTCCCACACAAATGAGCATCTTACCACACCTTAACACATGCACTCACACTCACCATTGTAGCCTGCCATGATAAATAAAAACAAACGATAGCCTACATTCCAGAACAAAGTTAGAACATGCACAGTTTTGTCAGCTTTTTGCAAGAGTATTAGACTAAGTAATGCATTAAAAAAAACACTGCCATATTTGAATGAGCTTAACGTATATGTGGTGTTATCTTATCCACAATTACACATGCAAAATAATTCAATTTCACAATGTGTTCGGCTCCCCGCTGTAACCCCTGTTGCTTGTAATCAAGTTAGCCTACTTGTGACCTTGCAAAGTTTACTATTTGCCCTAGTGAATGATTGACTCGAAAAACTTCAAAGGAGGGTTTACGTTTCCAAAACAAAATGTTCTTGAATGAAAATGATGTTAAATAGTTTTTCCCTAAACAAACAAACAAACAAACGAAAGAGCTATTTGTGTGTATTTTACTTGTATTTCAAACTAGCATGTTGCTTGACTGAGCTGACTGTAAAACCGCAGTACACTCGGCATTCCTGAGCTCCTCCTCCTCATTCACTCTACTTAGTAACTTTGTAGTTTCGAGATGTCACTGACTAATCACATGGCTGGTCATAGAGAAAATGTCTGGGAACAGCAATAGGCTGTCTGGATATCATATGCTGCACTGTGGGCATGAAACTACTTCTACTGTGCTGTTGGTTCCATTTTTTTCTAACCCTGCATTAAAAATAAATGAAATTCATGTGACTAGATAACAGTTCAAAGTAGGTCAATATCTGCCTCCTGTTAGTAAGTTTGAACATGAGTTTTTTTTAAAAAAGGTTAGTCACACCTCACTTAAATCCATTTTGCACTTTATATCAACTACTTTTAAAGGATCCCTCTTTAGCCTACATTCCTTTCTTCATGAATTGATAGTTTTTTTCAGTGAATGCGTTTACACACTAAAGGGTTTAAGCATGTTTTACATCTTGTATTAGAACTGAAAAATAAAAACAACAATTTGCAGTTTTACAGGCAGCTACTTCCCATCCTGGAGCCGGTTGCCTGAAAATTGTCTCGGCCAAAAAGTACATTTCCCGAAAAACTGAATTAATTATTTTGAGTCCACTAGACTACATTACTAGGTGAAACCAGGTTACGGCTGAAGTTTAAAACATCTCCATACAAATGCAGTAACCTTACTCAATAACACCAGTTAACATGCTTGTGCATTTAAACAACTGTTGAAATGCATCGTAGATTATTGTGAATGGGGGATTGTTTTAGTTAATAGGTTACCAGTTATCCAGCAGTGAGAAAGCCCATCTTCAGTTGTATGTACAATAAACAGGCAAGCATGTAGAACTTTTTGAAAGGTTTTGAAAAGAAAGGCTTAACTGCAGTGTTTCTGACATTTCTTTTCTTTTCACAGGAAATTATACTATGCTTGCAAGCGAGACCCGTTCTAATGCCACCGATGTAAGTAAATAGAAATGATCTTGACCACTAAATGACTTTAACAAGAGTAACCAGTGTCACCAGATTTTCAAATGTTCTGTATCTTTCTATTAGGACGGACCCAACATTGCAGCCATCGTGGCCCCTACAGTCACACTGGGTGTTCTGGCCATAGTCCTGGCCGTTCTTGGCTGGCTCCTCTGCGTGGTGAAAAAGAGGAGGCAGACTGAAGGGACGTATAGACCCAGTGCTGAGGAACAGTCTGGTGCACATGGTGTGGCAGCACCAGATGCTCTAAAGTTACCAAAGGAGGAAAGACTCATTTGAGATCTTAAGCTTTGTGTTTTTACAAAATCCTTCAAGGATGACATTTTTTTGTGGTGTCTACCTTCAGCTGATCAATCAAAGAAACACCTTCCCAGGATAATGACATTACATTGCATTTAGCTGACGCTTTTATCCAAAGCGACTTACAATAAGTGCGTTCGACCAACAAGATACAAACTTGAAGAAAACAGAATCATATAAGTACATCAGGTTTCATAGAGCTAAAACATTTCAAGTGCTACTCAACTGGCTTTAGATAAGCCAGTCCTTTGTTAGTATATAAGTGTTTTATTAGTATATAAGTGCTTTGTTAGTAATTCTATCGCTCAAAGTGGAGTCGAAAGAGATGAGTTTTCAGTTTGCGCCGGAAGATGTGCAAGCTATCTGCTGTCCTGATTTCAATGGGGAGCTCATTCCACCATTTTGGAGCCAGGATAGCATAGATAAAGAGAGGACATTATTGCCAGGTTTGAGGCCTATTCACATGATGCATTTACTTACTGCTTTCATTTCAATGGGCATTGAATGGTTCCTGTGTGGCATTATGAAAAAATGCACCTGGATGTACAGTATGGATCTCACAGATTTGAACATTTTCAAGGAGGTTTTTGAACATTTATTTCGCACAAATTAAGACTTTCAGTATTTTATCTCCACTAATCTTTTAGTTTAGAGATGTATTTTCTTATCAAGGCTGCCATTTACTATGTAGCTTTTTTTGATTTGATACAGGGAAAAGCAATATATTTTTAGTCCTGATGAGTCCATTGCATTTTAAATCAAGACAAATAATTTTCAGACTAATAATAATAACAATGCAACATCTTATTACAGTTTAAAAACGTATATTATATTTTATATAGACAGCTGTACAATAAAAAGTTATGCTGAGAAATTATATTAAGCTAAATCAAGAAATTGTTTACACTACGTATTATAAGTATTCCCTCTGTAGTTAAATTAAATTGGATCAACCATGCATTTCATAATGCGTCATGATTAATCAGATGTTTTAAAATGTAACATGTTTATTTATGCCTTTTGTCAAATAAACAATTATAAAGAATTACATATACTGTTCTGTAGTTAAATAGAATAATAATTTGAAAACATGGCATGTTGTGACTTACATTTACTTTACTTGTCGGGGGGGTTGCAGAACATACACTGAAGTGCTGTAAATTCTCGATTTATGTCAGATTAAGTGAACCAATAAAATACTCAGAGGCAGTAAAAGTGGCTTTTATTAACATTTGATTTACCCTCCAAATTCAAGGATTCACAGTTAAAATCACTTGGTTTTTAATTCTGCAAGGCAATGACAGGACAAATGTAAGGATGGCAGTAATTCAGTGCAAAAACAACATTCAAAAACATTTAAAGCATTAAATGTACTAGTATTGGTACACATCAATGTCTAATACTAGAGCGATGGATTAGATGATGTTTCAGAGTGTGAATGTAAATTCCTGATGGAAAGGGATGTAAGGAACAGTTGAGGAAAAATGAAGTTTGGAGGCCTTAATGGCAGATTTCTTAGGCGACTTCCTCATCTCCGTCTTCCTCAAACTCGCCCTCCTCAGCGGTGGCGTCCTGGTACTGTTGGTACTCGGACACCAGGTCGTTCATGTTGCTTTCTGCCTCAATGAACTCCATCTCATCCATGCCCTCCCCGGTGTACCAGTGGAGGAAGGCTTTACGACGGAACATGGCGGTGAACTGCTCAGAGATGCGCTTGAAGAGCTCCTGAATGGCGGTGCTGTTGCCGATAAACGTGGCAGCCATTTTGAGGCCACGGGGCGGGATGTCACAGACGGCGGTCTTCACATTGTTGGGGATCCATACAACGAAATAGTTGCTGTTCTTGTTCTGCACGTTCAACATCTGCTCGTCCACTTCCTTCATGGACATGCGTCCCCGGAACACGGCAGCCACGGTGAGGTAGCGTCCGTGGCGTGGGTCACAGGCAGCCATCATGTTCTTGGCATCGAACATCTGCTGTGTGAGCTCGGGCACGGACAGGGCGCGGTACTGCTGGCTGCCCCTGCTGGTGAGGGGGGCGAAGCCTGGCATGAAGAAGTGCAGACGGGGGAAGGGCACCATGTTGACGGCTAGTTTACGGATGTCGGCATTGAGCTGGCCGGGAAAACGCAGGCATGTGGTCACCCCGCTCATGGTGGCAGACACCAAATGGTTGAGATCTCCATAGGTGGGGGTGGTGAGTGAAGAGTTTATCACCGGCCACTAGAGGGCAGCGTCACTGCTGTCGCTGTCCAGATATGCCGTGTTTTGACCCGGAAGTGCCGAGCGGCCATTTTAGTTCACATGTTGTTCATTCACTCCGCCTCGAGTTGAGACGTTCATCCACTCACTCATGTAAGACTGTTTCCACTATTGTTTGGTGTGTCTTTACTCTATGTAATTGAATATATGTGTATTGGTCATGACATGCATGTATGTAGTACTTTGTCAGCTTATCCTGCGGCATTGCTCTGTTTCAGGGTGTCGTCATCCTTGTCATTAAAGTACCGAAACTGACATTGAGGAGTGTGTTTCTTCATGACGACACCATGGTCGTTGTTGGATGCCCCGTCCCCGGCTGCGAGTTCGAATCCGAAGACTTGTCTGAAGCACTCGTCATTATTATATTGACGATTCATGGATTTAGCCACCAGCACGCAGCGCCTGTCATGGCCACGCCAGCCCAGGCCCCAGCCCCTCACGGCCCGAGACTCGATCGGCCCAAAGTTAATGTGGGCGTGTCGATAGAGGAATGGAACGTGTTCATCCGTCGTTGGGACGTATTCCGCGCCGGCTCAGGCATAGGGGATGCCCAGGCCCCCTTCCAGCTGTTTCAATGCGCTGGGCCTGTACTTGGAGACAGCCTGTTGAAAGCCGCCCCCGACGCCGCTTCCGGACCCTTGCCAGACCTAATCACCGTCATGCGTTACCTAGCTGTCATCCCAGTCGCTACATGCGTCCTGCGCACCGAGCTACTTCAGTTCCGCCAGGAACGCGATGAGGCATTCCGTGCATTCGCTGCCAGAGTGCGGGGTAAAGCAGAGACATGCGCATATAATGCGGTATGCGAGTGTGGTAAGGACGTGGACTATACAGACCACATCATCCGTGATGTTCTGCTCAATGGCATTTATGACTCGGACATACGCCGCGAGACGCTGGGGACACCTGACATCCTGGTTAAGCCAGTTAATGAAGTAATTTGCACTCGTCGAGAACAGAGAGATGGCCCGTAACGCTCCCCCGTCGTCCTCCCTATCAGCCATGTCGTCATTCCGGCGCCTGAAGACGACTCCACAGACGAGCCCCGCCCTGAGCCCTGCGGACGGGGCTAAACGTGCCTCGTGCCCAGAATGTAAGAGCGTCTTTAACGTCTTCACGGAGGGGCCTCGCGGGTGGAATCCTAAGCTTCACTAGGTGTGCATCGGCTGCTACAGGGCCCGCCGACGACAGAGGCGTTAACAGCCGTCGTCCGACAGTCAACAGGCCGCCATGGGGTCGGAGCCGGTCTCCCAGGTCTCATCGGTGCAAGCTGGGGCCCGCCCTGGCCGACGTCACAGGAGCCATCGCCGACTCCGCGCCCCTACGTCGCACGGATGTGTCAACAGGCAAGCACCTATCAGACTCGAGCACCACATCTTCTCCAAGGGCGAATGGAGACGGGCCAGGCTGAGAGACCACCCCCGAGCATTAATCACCATCTCGATGGACATGCCAGTCGGGTTGAGGGATGGCACCGGCAACCGGGGCTCGGCCGATGGAGCTCGGATATCCGCCGTCGCGGACACTGGCGCGCAGTCGGACCTTTGGTCGCTGGAGGAGTTCCTGGCCTGCGGTTTCTCGCGGGACGACCTGCGACCCGTCAGCCTCAGCCTGTCGGCCGCCAACCACTCCCCCATAACCATCGAGGGAGCGTTCTTCGCTAGGCTCTCGACAACCTGCAGCGGGGGGCGTGTCACATCCTGCCGTTCCATGGTATATGTGAGCAGCTCGGTCCGGGCCATGTACCTCTCCTACGAGTCGTTGCTCAACCTCGGCCTCTTGCCCGTGAACTTCCCATTGGACGACGTTGCAGGGGGGCACAAGGACAGGTGTAGCCCTGACACGGCTGACACGCCAGACCAGCCCTTGTCCGTCAATGCGACGAGGTCAGCCAATGGCGGCTGCGTGGGGCCAGGTGACCCCCGGGACGCCCAGTGCACATGTCCTCAGCGCACGGTCCCCCCGGCGCGCCCCGTATCTGCCGTTCCCTTGTAAGCCAGAGAACAATAACAGGATGAAAGATTGGCTACTCGGGAGATATGCCTCGTCGACGTTCAACACTTGCCCCCATCGAGCACTACAATGCATGGAGGGGCCACCTATCGAGATGCACGTGGACCCCGCAGCTATACCTAGGGCATGTCACACAGCGGCTACAGTGCCTTTACACTGGCAGCGGAGGGTCCACGATGACCTCCTGCGGGACAAAGCCCTTGGGGTCATTGAACGTGTGCCATACGGCGAGCCAGTGACGTGGTGCCATCGTATGGTAGTCACTCGGAAGCACGACGGTTCCCCACGCAGGACCGTGGACCTCTCCCCCCTTAACAAGTTCTGCCAACGTGAGACCTTCGCCACTGAGTCCCCGTTCCACCTTGCACGCCGCGTCCCGAAGGGCACCTGGAAGACCGTCACGGACGCCTGGAACGGCTACCGCGGAGCAGCGCTATGCGGCCGTCGAGGGAGAGGCCCTAGCTGTGGCCTGGGGTCTGGAACAGACGCGGTACTTCACGCAGGGGTCCGACAACCTCGTCGTGGTCACCGACCATAAGCCGTTGGTGAAGATCTTTGGCGACCGTACGCTGGATGAGATAACAAACTCGCGTCTGTTTAGACTCAAGCAGTGCACCCTCCCATGGTGCTTTGACATTGTGCATCTGCCTGGCAAGAGCAACTATGCCGCTGATGTCACATTGAGGCATCCTTCCCCCTCGGGCTCAGCGAACGGCCTCTCATTGGGGCTGCCGAGCGGGCCTGACGCCGTGGAGTCAGCACTCATGGCCTCCATCCGCGACGACCCACGGGAGCTCGGAGCCGTCTCTTGGCCCCTCCTCGCACGGGAGACAGCGGCTGACGGATGCCTCGGCCACCTCCTCCAACTCATCGAGCAGGAGGGTGGGATTTACGTAAATGACCCTGCCCTGGCGAGTCTGTCATCGGTCTGTGAGTCCGTCTACGCACAGGACGGTGTCCTGCTCTATCGGGACCGCGTCGTGGTCCCCCCATCCCTCCGTGGGAGAGTCCTTCGGCCTCTCCATGCCGCTCACCAGGGGACCTCAGCGATGGGGAAGCATGCCCGAGCCATAGTTTACTGGCCCGGGATGTCCGGGGACATTCAGGCCATCAGGGACGGGTGTGCAGACTGCAACCGCAATGCTCCGTCACAGGCGGCTACACCCCCCCTGCCGTCCTCACCCCCGTCCACGCCATTCGAGGCGGTGTTTGCTGACTTCTTCGACTATGGGTGCCGCCACTACCTAGTTGTCGGGGACCGTCTCTCGGGCTGGGTAGAGGTCCTGAGCTCTACGGCGGGTACTGGCAGGCTCAGCTGGCCTGGTCCAACACCTCCGTTCGTTCTTCGCCACCTTCGGCGTACCGGAGGAGCTCTCGAGCGATGGTGGTCCAGAATTCAAGGCGAGCCACACTGAGGACTTCCTCCGCTTATGGCACGTCAAACACCGTGTGTCGTCCGTTAGCTTTCCGCAGTCGAATGGGAGGGCGGAAGTTGCGGTTAAGACCGCTAAGCGCCTCCTGATGTCCAACACCGGCCCATCGGGCGGCCTTGATCAGGACCGCTTCCTGCGTGCTATGCTGCAGTTGCGAAACACGCCTGACCCCGACTGCAACCTCTCGCCAGCGCAGATCATCTTCGGCCGCCCCCTTCGTGGCTCGCTCTCCTTCGTGAACCGCCTCGAGAAGTTCTCGAACCCGCACATCCGCCT